CTACTCCTACTCCTACTCCTACTGCTACTGCTACTGCTACTGCTACTACTAATAATAATAAATAATAATAGTAATAATAATAATAATAAATATAATAATAATTCATTCCAAAATGAATCGGCTCTTCTATGCTAAAATTACTGTACTATTCTAATTACGCTATATCATATAATTTACAATAAATCACATTCTAATTAAGAATTAAAATATAAACAAGCGACCGGTAAAAGGCCTGAGATTCATGTTTCTAATCTCTTTCTAGCGTTATTAAAAAGATATGATGTCAAATTACTCTCAAAGGATCGAAAGTCCGTACAGTTCCGCAGATAACTTGGTAATGCATTGAAAATTGCTGCTGCTGAGCTGTCTTGAAAAGTATCAATTTCGATGGGCTCCTTTAATCTGACTTCACAGGACGAGCGTAGATTTCTTGCTGGTACGTGTTGTTTGAGTTTTAAGTACTGGAGCCAATAGTCAAAATATAGTGCTGAAATTAAAAAAAATTAATAAAATAATGAAAGAATAGTAATGAGGAATGTTCGTCACAGACATTATGAATAACGAAAAGAACTTTTGAAAGAAGAGAACGGAAAAATGTAGATGGTGTCTGTTGCACAATAACTGCTTCAAGTTAAATGAGTTTACTCAAGAGCTAAACATTAAATCAGGTAAATCGAAAACTCACCGACTGAAGTAGTTTTTTCGGGTGCTGTAAATTAAAAAGGAAAATAAAGAGAGAATAATGATATTAAACCTGTTTAGATTTTAATTTGTAAAGATAAAACTATAAGGTAAAAGACTGACTTTTGAAGATCTCAAACTTGGCGCTTGTGGTAAGTGCTACGGATGCTGTAAATACAAAAAAAAAATATGAACAGCGTGAAAAAACTTCAGGAAAGTTTTAATTGCTGAAAATGAAACAATGAAATGAAAGACTGAAAACAAACTCAGGAATGTAGATTTTATACGCACCGCTTGTGTTAGTTTTCTCGGTTACTGGAACGAGAAGAACACGAACCGTGTGAAGTAACACAACTTCATGAAAGTTTTAAATTGTAAAGATAAAACCATGAAATCTAAGACAGAAAACAAATTCACGTGCTTTGATTTCAAACTTACCTCTTGTGGCGGTTGATGCATCGGTTGCTGCAATCGAAAAGAACACTGGAGTAAGGTAAAATTACATAATCATTGGAGGGTCAAACATTGACTTATTAAAAAATTCAAAACTTGAAGATTCCAAAACTTTTAACAAATCTAGACCCTGCCAATTATGCAGTTGTCATTACAGTAAAGTTATTGAGTAAAAATGAAATGAGACGGACAAAGAGATCAAATCCTTGACCTACTCAGCGTCTAAAAGTAAGAGGGAACAACTTCTGAAAAAAATTGAGCAGAATTTTGGTTAAATGAAACAGTTTGTACACGAGGATATATCACACAGAATTCCAGTCTTCAATTTTGTCATATTTAGACTGCGCGTGATTGAGTAGCTCTCTGACGCATGGTGACCAACATCTAATTTCTACGCACAGTATTACCCTAAATCACAACAATGAAGGAAATGATCACGGACCAAAGAAGCTAGACACATGTTCGTATTAACACTTAAGGAAACGTATAGAGAACACAATGGAGAATATGCATACTGATGTTGGGGTACAACGGTTAAAGGTGTAGTAGAGATGACCGTTGTTGGAGTTCAAAAGGGAATTCGTCTGCGTAGCTTTTGAGAAATATAACCTAAACCCAAGGGCGTAGTCTAAAGACAGAGTACAAGATAACTTGTAACCAATTATTAACAAAAGGAAAAAGAAGACGTGTTAGGTATGTTTCCAGCCGGAAAAGCAAAAACGTCTTTATATCTCACTTACTTTCTGGCTTGATAGTGTATACATACAGCGAAAAATCTTCTCCAGCACACAATTTGGAACTGTTCATTTGTGTCTTGCACTCCATCGCACTCCTTTGTGTATTTTCCTTGACCATCGTACATTTTTTAGATGAGCCATGTCGTTTATAGCTGACACCTCCACCCCATCATTCAGCATAGTACTTCATCCCTAAGTAATCGTAGTTCTTTTCTTTCCCTAGTTTTGCACATTCGCAGGTAAACCTTCGAGATAAAATCAAAAGAAGAAATTTGATATTCTAAGGTAAAGATAATGGCGGTCTTTACATTCCAAGTGACACTTAGCGCCTGAGCTTATCCTGCTTCTCATTCTATGATGGAAAACTTGTAACTCTTTCTGAATGGACTCAATGATACGGTCAGGGTTCAAACCTTGACTCTTCCATCTGGTGTCCAACGTGCTCCTCATTGGACCGCTGTGTTTCCGTCACATATGTTGTATAACGTAAATCACGTAAATCGCGCGCTGTGATTGGTCAATTCAGTGTCTACTATTTTCCCATAGGTGTACGCTGTTGACGTGAGCAAATGTTTCCAAGTAAGCAAATGTTTCGCAAGATTGTTTTTTATGTTATAAAATAAGAGTCGCTCTCGCATATCGCCTCGAACGACTCTTACACTTCTTCCGTTCTTAGTAAACTCCCGCGTGCATCCATAACTCAATAGTGTACGCTGTCGTGTTTACCGTTTGTTACTGATTAGAATGATTCTATCTAAAAAATGTAGACTCATTTACATTTCCCCATTTACCTGTCAAGGAAGTTTGCCCAGTCGTTCTAGTTAAGGGGCTCGCCAGAGTAAGACTGAACTTGGATCTCTTGCCGTGAGTAGTAGGTTTGGTAAAGCTCGAAGTGAAGGGTCTTTTATATCCTGAAAACAACGAGCCTGCTTACGATCCAAAGGACATTTGGGCTGTTGCCGTTGATAACAGCCTGGGTTGGAAGCAAGAAGAAAGAAAAGCGAAGCAATACTTAGAGAACTTATTTCTGTGGAAGATCATTTCACAATTTTCTTTAATGTTCACATCGAAGAAAGAGAATCATTTTGTCATCATGTCCCCATTTGCTGGCACACATTTTTTGTAATATCAGTTCAGATAATTTGGTGATAAACGAAGTAGTATTCCTTGTTACAGGTCAGAGATCGAAAATAGTTCTAGCAAATGGATTGTGACAGAATTTTCTCCTTGTAGAACCGTCTGCTTGCAGAAAAGTTTCCGTCAAAATGGCTAGCGGCCTACAATACCCGCAGCACGACAATAATTTACTTACCTTTTCGCAGCTTGTAAACGAAATTGAAAGCTCCTCTAAAACAAGTCTGCCCTTGCTTTCTTTGTTCATCACATGACTCGAAAGCGCACTTATTGTCCTGAACAGCTGCCAGACGAACCCTTTCGACCATCCCTAGGGCTCACTCCGAACCAACATGCTCCATAGAACTCGATACCAAAATAATCTAAGTTCATTTTTTCGGCTTTTTTGGCACAAGTCACAGACAAATCTATGAGTGAAATATCATAGTGGTTTAGTGTAGCTTTATCTAGAGATCACTTTTATTGACAATTTCAGTGATGGAGGACCAAAAGTAAGTCACGATTATCTTGAATCATTTTATTGATTATGTAATCTGATCGCCCAAGTGAGAGTGAACCACGCCGCTGGAAAGGAATGTTACGGACGTTTCGACAACCTTACCTAAAGTCATCATTTGAGTCACGGCATCTCTTGTGATTGGTTCAGTAAACGGGTGCCTCTCTCTTAAATGATCAAAGGCATATCCAAAACCAGTTACAACAAAGTTGCATTCCTGCTTTTAAATTAAGTTTAGTTCTTTGTGTTCACTTTGAGATCTCATTGGCCCCTTGTTGACATCTTATTTTGATTAGTTATTTTGGTTTGGGTTTTCGGACCTCTGAAGTATTCACGCAAAAACAAATTAGATGTATCCCTAGTTACCTGTCAATGAAGTTCGCCCAGTCTCCCCAATTTATCTTTTCTCCGAAATAAACTTTTGATGCTGGATCTTTGGCTGTAAGAAGCAGTGTGAACAACGCCCTATTTTCCAGGGGAGTCTGCTATGTCTGCAAAACAACCGATTGGCTCGTACTTCTTAGGGCACTGAGGCTGCCGGAATTGCCAACAACCTGGTCCGATTACTAAAAAGAAAATAAAGAAGTTTGCATTTCCTTATTTTGTGTTCCATATATGAGCAGAAATCTAGGTCGAAACACATTTTAGATAATGAAGTCTCCGCAGTAGCCATTTGAACTTATTGTTATGAATTCAGGCTGAATTTTTCTGGAAAGTGTTGGTGACAAGGTATTCCCATTGAATGATGGGAATAAATCGCTGAGAAATTGTTGGTGGAAAACAAGGCTTCTTCCACCGAAATTTGTGTTTTTTAAGAAAATGCCTAAATTGTAATGGAAGCGGAAATCATTAGAATTAAGACTTTAATGATGAATTCCGCTCAGGTTTTTTAAACATTTGTGATTGCATGCTGCATATTCTCACGGTGAAGATCCGAGTACATAATTAATTGAGTTCTTGCTTAATAGCATTTAACTTACAGTCGTCTTTCTTCTTACCAGCTCTCTTTGGCGAGCCTTGGACCGAAGTGGAGAAGAGAAGAACGGTCACCGAGAACAGGCACGAAGATGTTCTCATCTTAAAGCTGATGAGGGAAATAGAATGAAAGAAATCTCTACTTTGAAGAAACGACGAGCTGAACAGTACCTCTGCGTGTGGCCTTTTTTACGGGATCTGTTCGATTCGTTTCATCTTCTCTAAAATCATAAAGTAATGGGGACACATTTACTTTGACAAGATCTTTGTTGGACAAACTGAATGACTCAATCAAGTTCCAAGCGAAATCAGGCTCTCAGTCAAAATCACAGAACATTTTGAAGGTTTGATTGCTGCCATCAGTGACTGTGTACAATCTAGATGAGTTATGGCCGGCTGCTTTGTAATCCTGACAACTTCCCAGCTGTAGCTGAGTCTCGCAATGTTTCCCAACAAACAACTCTGGACAAGAACAATTGTACCGAACGCTTGTGGGCTCACCGCAGATCTCAGTGCAGGATGAACCGACATGGATTGTTACTGCAGCAGACATTGCCACACTTGACATCACCGACACATGGAACCATGTCGCTATTAATCTGTTGAAATGGTGTGATTCGGAAATATATATTATCTTTTACGATTAGAGAGCAGCAGTTTTTGTTGAAAATAGTAATAAATATTAACTTAAGATTTAAATTAAACTGAGGGGAGGTTATCATAAAACAGTAAAAAGCCAAATTCGAATTTATTATTATTTTTTCCTTGCCGACGTTATTGTAGTTAGGTGTACATCAGAGATAAAATGAAAGAGAGAATCGAGAAAACAGGAGGATACAATGCTGGAAAACTATCAGAAAGGAGCCCCTGGAGAACAAGAGAGACGGCATTGGAACTAAAACTGGTTAGTATCAAAAATTCAAACTTTTTTTCGCACTTTGTAATTAAGATATCGTACGGTGTATTTACAATATTCCAAAGGAAAAGCGAAATGGATTTTTGAAAGTAACCACAACTTTATTCATTTTTGTATGGGGCATAATTAACGATAAAAAAATTGATTTCAGTTTACAATTGCCTTGTTCTCTACCTCAGCAGTAGAAGTAAGGGCATTTTAACAGCCTGTTGAGACAGTAAAAAATGTGCTTCTGTAAGCTTCCCAAGGTTATTTTGTCTGTAACAATTTCCTTTTGTTACCGACATTCGGTAAAATATCGCCTTCTTTTTTATTAATTGATGTTCAATTACAGTAGCTAAATGACAAGTGGGCATTAGTGTTAGTTACGAACGGAAGCGCCGACAAACTATTCAGCGACAGAATGTTAGTATAAAAATGAAGCAACCAATCCATGACTACTTGGTTTTGTGGAAAAAGAAGAAATATAGGACTCGATTGGTGTGTAAAGTTGCAATGTTCGCTCATTTTTTTGAGAAAATAAAGAATGGTGATCTCCCAATTATTGAAGGTCAATAACCACGGAAAAATTGCCCGTCGATGTTTACAATTACCCTGATTCTCTTTGACAGGGTCTTCCAACGCTGTGGTCACCACCTTGTATAGATTTTCCAGCAAAGCAAAAAGAGAGGTTAGTTGATAAAAAAGAAAACAAAAAATCACACATTGCTCCATTTTCAACATTTCGCCTACCTTCGTAAAGGTGTCCCAGAGGAGATTGTGATAAGTTCAGCCTAGGGAACGGTTTGAGGAAGCTCTTGTTGGTAAATTAAAATGATTCGCTTCATTCCTGAATTCACAAAAATTTCCTTCGTCTGTATCGTTGTAGTTAAATGACAAGCATCGGCAGTCTTGGATACACCACGTGTAGCACTGAGCTGGACTCAATGTTTCGCAACTGTGAAAAACACGACCAACAAACTTTGAATCTTGCACTGCATCACGATGTACATCAAGCGAATATTTTCTGACATGTGTTTCTGAGGCAATCCCTCTTAACTTGCAGAAAAAAATACGCGAATGTGAAAACTTCAGCTAACGTCATCATTTGATGGAGAAATAAGAGAGTGGCTGATTACTACTTATTCATTCCCAGCATCGCAAACAAGTAAGAGACGAACTGTCTTTGCCTATAAAGCTTGTGGCCAACGTTTTCATAAGAAAGTGGATGATCGCGGATGGGCTTCATTGAAAAGGGTAAAATGTAATCGATCTAAAACCACCTCTTTTGTGTTTATTGATGACGTCTCTATGTTGCAATCGCTTTGTTGAGGAGCTCTTTTAATTAATCTTTAACAAAACTACTGTCAAGTGTCAAAGCAAATCAGCTGTTTAGGAAATGTGAATCGGCCCATTCGTCTAACCGTATAGAAATGTTCCTGACTCATATTTTTCACCTTGTAATCGACCAAATTTCATCCACTATCAAGAAATAATTAAAGAATGTTGGGTAAAATTTAGTTGAACGATTTCCTTGGAAAAAGAAAAGAAAAGAAAAAAAAAACTGTAGAAAGAATCTTTGAATGAAAGTTGTCCGTAACTATGATGCGATTCAGTAGAAGTTCCCAACGAAATTAATCGAGTAGTTCGTCTTCCATTCATATGAGTGCGATTCCATATTTGGGTAACTTTAATCGTTAATATGAGAGTGTTACTCAAGTTCTTTGAAAAGAAGATGCTATCAAAATTATGTCACGATGCATTGTTTGCAGAAGAAAAGGAGTAAATTATATAATGACTGCAGTCCATGTATATTTCAAAGATTGATTAACACCGGTCATCGCCCATAAGCTGTGTTGTGTATTCATTTAGTGGAGACACAAACTCCTCAATTGCTTACTATTATTCTCCCTTTATTCGTACGTTGATCAAGTATCTTCTAAGCTGGTAGAATAGTCTTACTTAGTAACAGTACTTTCACATCACTCAGTAATCTTATAGTAATATCACTAACACTTGTACAAGTACTTTTACTGTGTTCTCAATACACTACAAGTTGTATGTGTTTTGTGGGAACATTTGCGTGATTTTAGGCTTGAAAGTGCCGGGCACGTCAGCCGACAGAGTTGCATATACATCTTTCTGCTTTGAAATTTTTCTGCAGTCTCGAAGAGTGTCGTAACTTTCTGTTATTATAGTTTTATTCTTTCAGAATCCTTTTTTATATCTTTTTTTTTTCGCGGTTTGAGAGAAAACTAATTTGATTGAAAATAAAACATTTATACTAAACAATGGCGGGAGGTGGTGGGGACGTTTTCCGTCCTCTACACTATACCCAGTTTTACACCACCAAATGAAAAGTCAACTCGACTAGCCGCTGAACTACATAGCGCCTACGAAACGGCAACAACAGAGGACGGCAGGTGCAGTTACCGGCTAGGTTGAGTATTATGACAATCGCCGAAGAAATAACAGCATTCTGAATGTACCACTGACATTACTGAAAAAAGGAATCATGTGTTCTCAAGAAGGCATCTTCTGTGCTAACGTAATGAAGTCGCTTAATGACTTTAGAAAGGAAGGAACTCTCTGCGATGTCACCTTAAGCGCACAGGGGAAAAGTTTTCCGGCACATCGCAACGTCCTCTCTGCGAATAGTGAATTTTTTAAGGCCTTATTCGCCAATGAGATGAGAGAAAACGTTGAAAATACTGTTCACATGGAGGAATTCGAGCCTCTAGTAATGGAACAGCTGCTAGATTACATGTACGGCGGCGGAATAGCTATCACGAGGGAGAATGCCCTTGATCTAGCGATCGGTGCAGATTTTTTGTTTTTGACCGAGTTGAAGGGAAAAGCTTGTGAATATTTGATTAGCAATTTAAACTCAGAAAATTGTCTGTTTCTCCTGTACATGGCCGAGAAGTACAACGTGAGAGGGCTTCGTGACAGCGCACAAAAACACATCCTCGAAAATTACGTAGCTGTCTCGGCAAGCGAAGGATTTGCTGCCCTTAGCATAGAACAGTTGCTTGCAATAGTGTCTAGCGACGATCTCGTCGCTAGAGAGGAAAATATTTTCGAATCAGTGATAACATGGACGAAGCAGGATTTGGAGACAAGAAAGAAGCTCTTTCCCACCCTGTTTTCATGCATCCGCCTGATCTATATGGCAAGGTGTTACCTGATTAACGAAGTACAAGAGGATGACTTAGTAAAGAATGATGAATCTTGTTTACGACTCATTACTGCAGCGAAGGAGTTCTTTTCGACTCCTAAGGGAGCTGTGCAGAATTCTGATCACGCCTCAGTGCGGCCACGTGCCTGTCAAACTGCCATCCTGCTGGTGGGAGGCTGGGAGGAAGATTGTGACATCACTGCCTCATCCAAAGTGTACATGCAAAGTATCAAGCAAATTTTTGAGGTTTCTGCCATGTCTACCCCTAGAAAGAACCATGGTGTTGCTGTCCATGAGGGTCTAGTGTATGTGGTAGGTGGAACAACTAAGAATGGCAATGTGACAAGGAGTGCAGAATTGTATGACCCAAGAACCAATACTTGGTCCAGTTTGTTTTCATTGCGAAAAGAGGTCGCGGGTGTGGGTGTGGCCATGTTAGGGGACTACCTGTATGCAGTAGGAGGGCATGATTCAAAGGGCATGCCGCAAAGTATTGTGCAGCGCTACAGTGCAAAGTTTAATAAATGGGAATGTGTTGCTTCTATGAATGCTTCTCGCACAAGGCACTGTGTTGTTGGTTCGAGTTATGTATATGCTTTTGGTGGATATTCTAGTGATGAAGAGATTCCTTTAAAATCAGCTGAGTATTACAACCATTTGTCAGATTCTTGGGTTGACATTGCTCCCATGAATCAATGCCGTTCTGATGCCTGTGCTGTATGCATGGGGAGCAAGATTTATGTGATTGGTGGAGAGGACATTTTAGGATCTCCAATTAAATTGACATCTTGCGAGATGTATGATCCCAAGACCAATAGATGGACCAATATTGCAGCAGTCCAACATCCACGCTCACATGCAGGTGCAGTAGTAGTTAAGGACAAGGTGTTTGTTCTTGGTGGTGTTGGCAAAAATAACAGAGAGCTAAGGAGTGTTGAATGTTATGATACAGATCAGCAGCAATGGCAGGAGGTGGCAAGTTTGCAAGCAGGACTTGAAGGATTTGGGTGTTGTGTGATCACAGTACCTGGTGAATTAATGCCTGTGTTGATTTGATAAATAGACTGCAATGGAGACTATGTGAACTTCTACAGACAGGGGCTTCCTTCCTGTTTAGGGTGTGCATAGTTGTGGAAGGTCATACATTAATTGCAGTAGCCATGCAGTCCATGACAATAGAAAAAAATGAAAGGTTTGAAGATTTGTTGCTGTACTACTGTAAATTTTCAAACACAATATCATTGGCTCCAACCAGTTGTTGGAACTCCACTGTGGCTGCCTATAAGGCCTCTTGCTGCCTTCCAGTAAGATTAAATCCAAAAAATTTGCCCAACTATTTACAACCTGATCAAGATTACATGGTACTTAACAATTTCAATAGAAGTGAACACCTCAAAAATATACATGTGAAAGATTATGTCAGGTAAAAAAAGAAAAAAAAATACTGAAATCTACATGTTTTCCCAGCCAACTCAAACAGCTGTGTGTCAACTGGCTGGCTTTTAGCTCATTTTGGCTGATTGAAAACCTACAACAGGTTAAGATTACTAAGAAATTAGTAAGAGAGCTCTTAGTGATGGCTATCAGAAACACAATGTACAAACATATAATAATTAAATGAATTCACTGAATGCTCTTTATACATTTCTTGTCAAACTTTCTTTAACCTTTTTACTCCCAAGATACAATTAGTTTTTCCATTCATCTGACTGCCATACATATCCTTGTAAATTAGTCTGGAGAATTCCAATCAACATCAAGATTACACTCAACTGATGAGCTTGTCTGCTTTCAAACCCTGTTTCCAAGGACAGAGCTGAATAATGAAATGCTATATCAGAGGGTATGTGGGCAACAATGTGGGCTCAAGTGTCCTAGGTTTAAAATTTAGGGAAATTAGGGGAAAGTAATTAAAACTGAGGAACTCTGTTTTCATCGAAGGCATTTTTCTATTTCCAGAGGTTTTAAGGAGAAAACTAATTTTTGAAAAATCTTAACAGGTGTACCAAGTTTTTGGAGATTGTTCTGTAAAAGAAAAGCGGCAAGGAAACGCCTCGAAGCAACAGAATAGGAAATTAACCATGCAAACGACCCAAAATCCATGTTTCTGCAGCAAAACCTAGGGCATGCGTATACATTATTCCACTCTGTCATTTGCAAGGGGCTTAGAAAATTAATATTGCAGCAGACTGAGAAAAGTCTGAAGTAACAGGATACCCTACTTCTCAACACCTCCAATGATGTGCCTGAAATATTTAGCCAGAGAATTCTCTGATCTGTGATGCCAAATAAACAACTTGCATTGTTTTCTTTCGGGAGGATTACATTCAGAAGTCAATGGAAGTCCTTAAATAAAGATGGTAGAAAATGTTGAGAGGTTTCTTGAATGATCCTCAAAAATGTTTCATCCTTTCTCAATTAAGTATTACTGGAAAGTCATGAATTATTTTGTCTTGGGATATTCATATTCTGACCTATGGTAGATCAGTCATTGACACAGACCGATACATTTAAGAGAACAACTTTGCATTAATTTTAAACTGAGCAAGTCTTGTTATGAATTGAAATCGTCAACAAAGCATCCTAATAATATAGCTGATGCAAGGTAAATTACTTGCAGAACATATCACTTCTGCAATTCATTTGCTGGCAGTATATAAATGAAGATTCCATGAATTGTAAAGATATGCCTGACTTCATGTTTTCTATTGGTGTCTTTTTTAATGTTATTTTACTTCATTATTATTTTAATTTTATTAATTTTTTTTTTGGGGGGGGAGGGGGAGGCAAACCCCCCTGAAAACAACTACTTCCTTTGCTAGGACTTTTTTTTCTTCTAGCATTCATTGCAGTTCTAGGTGAGGGCAAAAAAATTAAAGTAATACATTTGAGATGACCTCCACGAACTTCCTTCTATGAATTGGGGGCAATTTACAAAAGCTGAAACCCATTGAAGTTTCATTCTACATATTAGTAGAGAAAGATGTCAAGAAGTGACAATGAAATCCCCATGACAACAGTAACTTAAACTTCATCACAGGAGCAAAGTAAATAAAAAGTTTAGAAGTCTTAGTTACACTCAACAACATATCGCTTTAATGACAAAGTTGCTATTTTACAAAAGTTGAAGCAAGCTACAAATCCACAACAAAAAAAGCAGATGGATCTCTGTACACTGAGGGTGACCTATGCAAACAAATTGTCTTCAACTACTCTCCCTGTGAAGAAAAATAAAAGCATTCAGAGATCAAGCAAAGGCATTCCTTGGATGTAGTTAGCAACCATAACATTAGATAACCAAGTAGGGCTTAATTTTCACCAACAGAATGTCTCATAAAGGAAGCCTTCTGGGTAACTTGCTGGTGAGAGGTCAACTGACCCTATATACTTTCTAACAGACAATGGATAAGCCCACGATATAACCCTAAAATATACCAGCTGTCTGACAAGGAATAAGACTTAGTTTAAGAAATAACTTTAAATTCTCAGTCTCTCTTACTGGATTGTTCTCCTCAGCTTGTGGTTCATAGGACTGTAACTGAAAGAAAGAATTTCACTAAAGTTAGAAATAAAACAAAGTTGTCACACTTAGAAGCTGATCATCAGATCTGACAGCCAGTCGTTCACTGCATCTGCTTCAAAGCTCAGCAATGGATAGTATTCCCTTTCTTTTAGAAAGGAAGACTGGGAGACACCTTCCAGTATCAAAAATAGTCCAATTTCATTTAGGGAAAGCTAAATTTCAGAGTTTTTATAAACCTGATTTCTAGCAAAATGTGAAGTAGCTACATCGGATAGTAACTCAGTGTCTTTTTAACTATTTGTCAGGATTTTATAAATATAAAAATCATAAATATACATTGGATGGTTTTATGGACAGATGAATGGAGCATTATGAAATACTATAAATGTCAGTTGAGTGAGGTGTGGTAAAAGTTTGGTGGTGGGGTTTTGGCCACAAAAATTATGGTGTTGTCATGGACAATCTTCCTTCTTTACAAAGGTAACTGAGCCTGAAGAGCCATGCATCACCAACCATGAAATTTGAAATCTGCCAAAAGAGGTGAGGAAAAAAAATGTTACTGGAAAGGGTGCCAGTTAGCTACGACCGCAACACCATTCTAATGTCAAAACATGGTTGCAAAACTTTTGTTGTGCCTGGCACAACTGAAAATTGTAATCCTCAGCATATGTCTGTCTATTTTTCTTTTTTCTGTTCTCATGTAGAATACCATTTTCACACCCTTGCACCTAACACTACTGACCACACCCAACACTCCAAACTACCAATCAGCAGGCTGTATTATGACAGCCATATCAAATGGATGGGGCTTTTCAAAAGTCCACCTTACACCCCTTTCCACCAACTCAGCAGGCTGTTTCATGACTCTGTATAAAATGGATGGGGCTTTTCAAAAGTGCAAGATTATTTAGACTAGGTGCTGAAATCTAACACTACTCACAGATTTTATTCAGAAAGTTCAACAATTGGATCTTGAGGAATAAGAGACCCAGGGGTCCTCATAGATTTGCGGCTGTTGGAACGGCTTTGCACCTAGTTAAAAGTTACTTTAAATTTAGTGTTACAATGTTTTTCATAAAAAAAGTTAAAAACAATTGACAAGTATCAGGTTTACTTCTCTTCTTCTGGAAAAGCTTTAAGTACATACAAAACATTTCCAAAGCTAAGTTGCTGGTTAGTTCAGTGTTTGAATTCTTTTTAATGGTTACAAACTCAATGGTTTTAATACATTCACTGATAACACCTAGAAATACAGTCTTAGTAAGATCATTGCGATTTCTAAGAAATCAAAAGAGATTTTAAAAATTATGAGCCACGATGACTTTCTAAGTCTTTCTCTCTCTGTGTTGGGTGTGTTGGTTCAGGTAACATTTGATCTAAGGCTTAACATTAAAATAAGTTTAAAAGTTTTCCATTTTCCAGCGGATAATAACAACAATCCTTATTATTTGAGTGATATCAATAATTTCATATTGAAGAGACAAGTTTTAAAACAGATCCGAAAAATGTTTTCTATTTATTAATATTACCAATGAAACCCTGTAAACATCTATCAAAAAAAAAAAAAAATTAAAAAATTGCCTGTTTTTTTTGGTTGTTTGAACCTGTTATCAATGAATTTAAGGCTATTTTTGGTAATTATAGTCACTTAAAATTATAAATGTTAAATGCAAGAGCTTGAAATAAATGAAGTAAATAAGACGAGGAGATAAACAGTGAATGTTACATTTAGAATAGCTGCTTCTGTTTATTGTTTCATAATGTTAGTAAGAAGCTATTTGAAACAAAAATTAGTTTAAATAATTATCTGTGCTTAATTTCAACAAAAGAAGATCATCAAAGTGACCGTGGCTGTCAAATACACTGACGAGACTTACAGGAGTTTCTGCAGCCCAAGACAATCGGTTTTCAACACCTTTGCGAGTGTAAGAAGACGTTGGAGGCTCAGAAAGGGATGTTATCTGTTAAAATTAGATGATTGTTGTTGTGAAAGGTGAAACTGTTTTGCTTTAACAAAGCATTTGAGAATGATTAGGGCAGGTTAGTGTGAAATGAAAAGAATATTAAGTTTATTCCTGTAGAAGGAATTGGAATGGTGTGATTGGAAAATTAAAGGTTACATGGTATAATTCCATTAATTCCAAAACTCCTATATTGCCCATGGTGAGGTTCTTGATGAGTAATGATGCAAAACAAGTCAAGTGGAATGAGCACATGGTCAGGATTTGTTACATTACAGTGTGTTTTGGAACGGGTATTTGAACCACTAAATTCCAGGAAAAGACAGGAGAGATGACTGGTATAGGAAATATAGTTTCAGCCACCTCACTCCCACCCACAGCATCATTTGCCTCCCTTGAGATTAATTCCATTGTCAAAGGGCCTCTGCATATGAATCAGGCTGGACCAATCAGGCTGGACCAATCAGGCTGGACCAATCAGGTTGGACCAATCAGGCTGGACCGATCAGGCTGGAACAAGCAGGCTGGAACAAGCAGGCTAGACCAATCAGCATAATGACTTTTCCCCTCTGTTCAGGTTAGTAATATCAACCCAACTGAACATTTACACAATGTGATCAAATTGATTCACTACAGTCACCCAAACCCATTTCATGTTGCTTTCAATTTTTTTCCATTTTTTTTTTTGCTTTCATTTCAAATAGTGATCCTAGTGAAGTTTTCATAGCATTCTCAGATAAAAAATTGACAACATTCATTGGGAAACACTGACTAGACCAGACCTTGGAAACCACAACAGCTCAATTGGTTCTTAGACTAACCTAACCTTACGTGTGGTGTACATAATGCATTTATTGCAAATCTTCTCACTTACTCTTTGTTTCAGATTATTGTTTTCCATTGTCAGCTGCTCAACCTTTTGTTTTAAGTCGGAGACTTCATTTTTCAAAGCTTGAATATCTGCTGTTTCAGGAGGACCTCCATGGAGATGTTCCTTCATGAAGCTTCAACATTATTAAGGTCCAAGATTACTAATAATTAAAATATTGATACCAATTAATCTATTAAGGGAAGAAGACCATGGCGGCAGTATGTTAATTACATGCTTTTCTGCTTGGCAAAAGTCATTTGGTGTGGGGATACTTACAATTGATGGTTTGTACCACACCTTACATGTTTGAGTATGGTGACAGGCTGAGGCTAGTTCTCCCCCCAACTTACATTAGAGTTGCAATAAAAGTAATAAAACTTTCCCAATAATCTGATCAACTTGTTGATTGTTGAAATAATAATCAGGACATGGAAAGATGTTAGACTGACATGGTAACAGTTCATGTCACCTCATTGTTCTTTCACCCAAAGTCGGAGGGCCTCACCCTAAGTGTGGACATGTCATCCCAAGTCAGGTTGATTGAAGTCAAACTAATTTTTATGTAAACACTAATTGCTACATGATCACTCTTTACTATTACTCCTTTCAGGAATATACTATTTGTTGGAATCAATTTTGAAGGCAAACACAATCAACAAACTCACTCAATCCAACATGAGAATGCCTGTGGGGGGAACTGATGTAACTTGGGGTGAGTGTGGTGCAAGGGGTGATGAAAGCTACCTTAAGTCTAGCATGGGATGACACGACTACATTTAGGGGGTGACCTCGCTTGCGGCAACATGGATGAAGAGGATCGTGCCTCATACGTATCTAATACCGCAGTTCAAAATATATGAACTTCATATATTTATTCTATCTCATTTATCACTTTCACGGGTTTATTACGAATCAACTTAACGGCCTGCTCCCAGTTGGCTTGTTAGCTCAATTGGTGGAGCGCTGCACTAGTATCGCAGAGGTCAGTGGTTCGAGTCCCGTACAGGCCTGATTTTTTTCAGGTCTGATTTTCGCTATTGCATAAATAGCGCTATCTACTGCGAGGATCGTGCCTGATACGTATGGATGAAGAGTGAGAGTGAAAACTGAGTTAGGGTGTCCTTGTTGATAATTTATGCATTGCACATCATCATTGTAGCTTAACATGTGACGACTTACACACTTTATCGATAAAATGAAGAGTTTCTTGCTGAAACATAAAGTTTATGGTTAAAAAAATAGAGCACCCGTGAACTAAAATATATACACACATGTACGTTACAAAGGATACTCTAAAGCATTCGCTGGCTTTTCTGGTTCTTCGTATAAATTCACAAGAACTGTCGAACCAACACAAGAAAAAACTCAGTAAGAGAGATAGAATAAACTTCAAATCAACTAGAAATTTACCTTTGGTCAAAGCATCCATAACTCCCGCCTTTTCCAGATATTTTCTAAACTCTTCACGTTTCGAATCGGCCACCTTTGGAAATGGAAAAAAAAATAGAAATCAAGAAAACACTTCATGCTCGCTAAAAGAGGTTCGACTGAGACAAAATTTACACTACATACCCTGTACTGTGATGTCATTTTGTTCGAAGCCAAAAGGTCTGGAGAAGTTTGAAAAATTTGAGAAATCGAAATGAGGAACTCTGTAGCAACAAGAATCACAAATCAACAGATCCTTGCACTGTGAGGTGCATTATGGGTAAAGTCATTGGTGCCCAAGCTTCCTATGTCTCACGTCCTCCCAAGATGGCTTCGGGTTCAGCAATAGTAGCCACTTCTAAATGGATGAGGGGTGCTTTTGCGATTGCAACCGAATTACATTTGGGTAATCTAACTCTTAGTGGCAGCAGGTTTACTTGTTTTTCGACCAAACCTGTTCTTCCGGTTCTTACCTTATACACCAAGGTATTCGGCTCGAAAGTGATTCGTTCTTTTTATCGAGTAGATTTATATCAATTCGTAAAACTTCTCGACAAACATGTCACTGAGGCTGCTTGTATGGGAGTGTCGCTTTTATGATGAAATTAAACTAGTATACAGCTACTTTTTAAATATTCACGCGGATAACAACAATGAGTATTCATGTTATCACTGTCAATTCGAAATTTTAAAACTCCCTCCGTGGACTCTTGGACACCTCTCTTCTCTGCATCCTCACGATCCCCTACTGACAAAAACGCCAGGAGCTCGGGAAAGTAGGTAATAGGCTGAGTTTAAGGGATACAGGAGGCGATAGGGTTGGAAGCAGAACCAGGAAGCATGAAAGAGTCGCAAAACCGCAAACACTGTTTTGCAAAAGTGGGAGATGAAAGTTGTGAATAGTACTAAGAACGAGGAGGGGTTCTGGCAAATTGGCTATTCTTAAACCTGACTTCTTCTCCAACCCCTCCCCATGCTATGAATGAACTGAGGATTGGATTTTTTACAGTAACTCTTTACTTTATTACCTCTTTACAGCATGTCTGCCCACTGTGTGATGAAGCAAAAGCAGCACTAGAGAGCTACAGACACAGGGTTTGTATTCACACTATCAGAAACAAATTTGTTGAAATATCATCTTTGAAACTGCAATTTTGTCCCTAATAACCTTATTTTTTTAACCAGTCTCTCCTTGCACAAGGTTGCACTTTGTCTTCTGTGATTATAAAACATTGAATGGAATAAGGGGGTTATTGTAGCAAACTGCAGTTAAATTTTAATTTGATCCCTAAACACTTCCTGTAACATGGCCACATTAATTATGATTGACAGGCCTTAACAATGCTGTTCTACAGGTTCAATTATTATTCATATAATAATAATTATCATAAGTATATACTACACAGGTGAAGAGTACGTATTGCACATGTTGATTAGCTGTTTCAGAAATGATTAGTAAGTATTATTCACCTCCAAGCAGCCAATGAGACAAAACCACACTAAAAAAATTTAATTTACAACCATTTTATTTTTTGGTATATTGATGGAAATAAAGTAATTTTATTGGTTTCTGTGTGTTATGTAATAAAACAATTATTCACCTCAGTGTCCATGAACGTGGTGGATATTTAACCTCCCCTTGAGTGAATAATTATCAATCATTTTACTTTCATTGAAGATTTTCAAATTTGTTTAATAATAAATATCTAAATCTCCAGTTTCAGTTTGAAGAGGTGGATATCAAAGCAAAAGGAAATGAAGAATGGTTTGAGAAATACAGATATGAAATTCCTGTGTTCCATTTTAATGGATCTTTTCTCATGAAGCATAGGGTGAATGAAGGGTTATTAGATAGAGAACTAAGTAAATTTGAAGAACAGCAAAGAAGCTAGGAAATGGTGACACCCAAAGAATGCAATGATAATTAACATACTCTACAACATCAGTGTTAAAAAAAGAGTCACTTAAACTGCTTTTCTTAGACTTGGAAAAAGTACTCTTATTCTTTAGGAAAGAGGAGTGAGGCTACTGTGGGTGTCTTGCACAATAATACAGTACAACCACTGAGCTACAAGTCAAACCTATAGCCTGTACAACCACTGAGCTACAAGTCGAACCTATAGCCTGTTTATCCAGGTTCCAGCACACTAGCTGCCAGCTGATCACTTATTCTGCTCAAAATGAACTCCTTTTGAGCAAATTCTCTAAGCAAAGTCAAATCAACTGAAATATTTATTACCGGTATGTCTTATGATCAGCTAGTTTACAAATAGTGAAAAAAAGCGGAAAGCTTTTATTATTACAATAATATCTTTTCTTACAGGACAGCAAAAACATAATTTGTGTTTTGCATTAACAAGTTGCAAGGAAAATCAATATTTGACGTTAAATAAAACTAACATACTTTATACATAAATAATTTATATACCACATTTTTCTTGTTCTCACTTGTATGTCTCAAAGCTCATCTACAATTACCAATAATTGCAATAGACAAGCATCACCTTAACCCTTGAACTCCCACAAGTGATTAATCTGTAACTTCTCCCTATAATATCCATACATGATCCAGCAAACAGGTAATGAGAATACTCAGACTTGTTAGGTAGAAGTTGTTAGTCTCATAACCAATTTACAAGGAAATGTGTTAGTAGCAGCTAGAGGGGAGAATTCATAATCAGATCTTGGGAGTTAAAGGGTTTGGTGAAAATCTCACATTTATCCTTCTTAAAATTAAAAAACACTAAAGGTTTCTTTTGCAGAAGGTAATATGTACAGACTGAATAGCTTGTATGGTGACTAGCTGATAATCTCTCCTTTAATAATCAGTCCTGAATCAGTTTTAGTTTTAGTTTAGTTTAGTTTATTAGCTTCGCCGACAGG